GTTGTTGCAGCGTGCGGGGCCTGCAGATAAACAGTCATCACTCACAATAGCCTCCCAGCAAAAAGCTATGGCACGTCCTCCTGGGGTGGGAGAGAAAGGGAAAGAATGGGGACACCCCGATATTTCTACAACATCTTTATTGGAACTGTCCACCGCATCTACTCCAGCCTCACTCACTGCCACCCACAGAGAGGTTCCAACACCACTCGGCCCTGCACGTGTGGAATTGGGCTTCTCAAGGCCCAAAGTTGCTCAAGGTCAAGCACACATTTGCCACCAATGCCTGATCACATCTATTCTTCTCACACAGCATCCTAAAGGCTCCTTAGCCTTCAGGAGTGTGTATGCCCCTCTGTTTATTTGCCACAGAACAGATGCCAGGGTCCAGGGCTCTGAAGGCCAGCTGACAACTGGCAAATGAGAATTCCTGCCAGGGAGGCAGTGGGCACCAGCTGCTCAGAGATCTCCCGCCTCAGCACAAAGGACTGTGTGGCTTCCACACTCCTTCAGCAAAAGCCGGGGCTGCCTTCCTGTCATCTGCACTCTTGAGCTTTCAGATCCATCGGGGCAGGAAAGCCACACTCGCCACAGTAGCCTTTGAAGGGTGCTGTTTGCCTCTCTGACCAGCCAGCTAGTCTGCACCAGGCCTCGGTGCCCAGTGCGTGTGAGACCCTGAGGGCAGAAGAGGTTGGCTCATGGATTTGGTTATGAACATCTATGTTGGCTTCTTTTTAGAGACTTTCCACTGGGCTTTGAAAGGTGAGAGTTCTGTGCCCTCTTTGGCTCCCACCTGTCCATCAGTGTAATCCGTTATGGTTTTTGTTTTGTTTTGTTTTGTTTTCTCAGCTGTAATGGAGACCCCCTGAGATAACACCTAGCTCTACCACTTTCTACTTTTTCATCTACCCTCGGGTGGAATCTACATGAGTGTGGAGTGCGGAGGGCTTTGTTTTCACTGGGGAGGGAGAAAGACAGTAGGACACATGCCCCTGAAAAGCCACAGCTTGGAGATCTTGCAAGTTTAGAGGTCTGAGAATGAACTGAAGCAGGGGGGATGCTGCTTAGTTCACTAGGGTAGTGGTTCACAAACACCACTTTACAGAAATTTTCTGTGAGTTTGTGAAAGCCACTGCAGGATCCATGTATTCAGTGGCACTAACTTTTTCTCTGAGTGGCAGGAAATTTTTTTTTTGCTTTTTGGGTCACACCCAGTGATGCACAGAGGTTACTCCTGGCTCTGAACTCAGGAATCACCCCTGGCAGTGCTGAGGGGACCATATGGGATGCTGGGAATCGAACCCGGGTTGGCTGCGTGCAAGGCAAACGCCCTACCCACTGTGCTATTGCTCCAGCCCCGTGGCAGGAAATTTTTGCAGGTGGGCTGCCAGAGTGTGAACTGGAGATCGAAGAGCACCTCATGAGAAAAAATGTCAGACCAAACCAGGGGGTTCCTGTACTCCCATTTCCTTATTCCAGTCTCAGCCAGATATGTTGAGGAAAGCATCTCCAACACCCAGGATTGCATTTTCACCATCACACTTTGCTGCAGAGGCACCCACTCTGCCTACCCACTTCTCACTGCCCTATCTTCTGGTCATAGTAAAAGAAAATAAATAATTGGAGTGTCAAGTGCTGGTCTTGATTGTCATGGGGGCAATCAAGAGCTGTTGGGGATCACCCTCACCTGATGTTGGTTTCCAGTTATTTTGAAAGGACTCTTTGATTATTTTTGTTGTTTGGTGCTTAATTTGGGGGTGTGAGGTTTGGGAACCATACCCAGTGGTGCTTAGGAGCTACTCCCAGCTCAGTGCTTAGGGGTCACTCCTGGCAGTGTTTGGGGGATCATGTAGAGCTCGAGATCAGATCCAGGAGTGCGCATATGGAAAACAAGTGTTCTACTGCTGAGCCACATCCCCAGCCCTAGGGTCAACTTACTTGGAAGCATGGCATCATTTCTCATCTAAAGAGACAGGAAGACTGAGTCTGCCAGAGACAGAGTGAAGTTAGTCAAGGGAAAAGAAGGGCCCCATCTACAACCTGCTTTGCTAATGATCCAAACAGGCCCCTGGCCAGCATTGATCAAGTATGGTGGATACAGGCAAGTGGTTCACAATCTGTCCCTTCCTTCCTCAACTGCCCCACCTACCTCCATAATTGCCAGGGTTCAAAACCCAACCTCATACCTCTCTTCCTCCTCTTCCAGGTTACAGCACACACACACACACACACACACACACACACACACACGGGCCATAGCCATACTTTGCAGGCACCATGATGGCACAGCATCTCCTTTCTGAATTCTACCCATCATATTGCATGAGTCTACTTCGTGCCACATCTGACACAAAAGCATGGGATAGTTTTCTCCTCGCAGAGTGATCTCGGAAAATATGATGACTTGTAATTGTCTTTTTATAAAATTTGGGCCTGTGGTTTGAGGCAACATCGCTGGGGGAAGTGCCTCCGAAAAAGAGAAAGCTCCCAAGAAATTAGTTCTCATTGTGTTCAAACCAGAAGGAGGGAGGAAGAAGCAAAAGAGGAGGGAAGGCATTGTTGGCGTGTGGCCACAAAAAATTGGGCCATGGGATCTTGACAGTTCTGTAAAGAAGAAATTATTCTGATCCTCAGTAAAGAAGGGTTACTGGGCAGAGTTTCTGGTATAACTTCATAGGTATGCATACATCTGTCTCAGTCTAATTTATACAGAAAAGGAAGAAAGAACTTCACCACCCCGCATCCATGAAGATGTCAGGGTAGTGAACTCAAAGGGGCTGGCAAGAGGGATAGATTTGTGGCCCAGAAGCTTTTCCTTCTGTGCAAGAGGTTAGAGCAGCTTCATTTCCTTACTTTTTCTTTATTTTTGAAAACTTTTTTTATTGAATCACTGTGAGATAGATCCTTATAAAGCTGTTCATAATTGGATTTCAGTCATACAGAGTTCCAACATCCATCACTCCACCAGTGTACATTTCCCGGCACTATTGTCTCCAGGTTCCCTCCTATCACCCCATCCCCTCCCAACCTGCTCTATGGCAAGCAGATTTTCTTCTCTCTCTCTCTCTCTCTCTCTCTCTCTCTCTCTCTCTCTCTCTCTCTCTCCCCTCTCTCCCTCCCTCCTCCTTTGGGCATTGTGGTTTGCAATATTGATATTGAAAGGAATGAAAGGTTATCAAGAATATCCCTTACCTACTTTTAACCCTCAGATCTTGTCCAGCGTGATCATTCCCAGCTATTATAGAGCAGCTTGATTTCTGCCTTTTTTATAATAAAGTTTGTCTGATCACATGTGGTCATTACAAATAGAATATTCAGAAGGAAAACCCACACATGTGTGCACTCATAATCCTACTAATCCAAGATCACCCCTATAAAATTTTCTTTCTGGTGTTTTTCTCTTTCTGTCGCAATAAAGTTGAGCTCATACTGTCTGTGCCAACTTGGCACCATTTCTTCTTCCACTTTACCAAACTGCAGTTCCCCAGACTTTCATCAACAGAGTGTGGTTTGTAGTCACACAATGGTGTGTCTTGTGGGTGCTGTCTAGCAGACGGGATCCTTTACTGTGGGTCAGACAGCCCTGGGCCGGACTTCCAGCCTCCACCCCTATTTAATTGCTTGGTGACCTGGGGAAATGACTTCATCACTCAAAGCCTCAATGATTTCATCTGCAAAATGGACATAATCATCTTGCTAGTCAGAGAGTCGTCATGAGAGGTGCTGACTCCCTGTGTAAGGAAAAGCACCTTCTCTCCCAGGGAAGGCGATCCTGTTACAGTTACAGGTGAGAGGTTTCACTGGGTGGGAGTAGAAGGGTCAGTTACTTCCACAGCTAATCATCATGGAGTCAAATTCCAAGGCCCCATCTGTTGCCCATAGAGCTGGACTACATACATGGTGCTTCTTGGCCAAGTCACTCAGCTAATAGAGAAAATGTCCTTGTATTCAGAGCCTACTGACTGTGAGGCCTGACTCATATTCCTGTAGGGCCCATGTTCTTTAGGTTCTACTGAAAAATTTGTATTTTATGGGCCCTGATATTGCATCAGGCTCTGGTTATCACCTTCCCAGACCCAGTGGGGAGATTTTGCTGGCCCCTGTGGGAATGTCCCACGAGTGCATTTTTGGAATGGAAAAGAAAAAAAAAGAAAAACCCTGTGGAACTTTATAAAAGCCTCTTCTACTCCCAAGGGCCTAGAGAAGGGTCATCGATGATATGGATCCCTGGCTCAGACCTCCCTATTTCCAACTTTCCTTGATTGCGTTACTGAAGAGGTTCTTTTTGCCTTTGACTGCACAATCCCCACCCACCCAACCCCGACCACTGTCCGCCCCAGACTGCTGGCTAAGAACTGAACCCCAATTGGCTTCTCCATGCACTCAGTCATTTGCCAAGTGACCAAGCAGCCATCCTGGAACCAGTTTGGGGGTGGTGGCGGCATAGATTGTGTGACTGCCCCCATCCCTGATGGAGTGGCAGAGCATCAGGGAACTGGCAGCGGTCAAGCTCCGTTCCCCTTTCCAGGCTACAGCTAGTCTGGGGGTGGGTCCAGGAGATGCAGAAGCCCCCCTTCCCAGCCACAGTGTGCCCCTCAACCTGGATTTATTCAAGATCCAGATATTCTTTCCGAATAACTTGGTTATTCAGCAGAGTACATCTTAATTGTAAATGTGCTTCCCATGTAGGAGACCATTGTGCTTGTTGGATTGGGCCATGGTTGCTTGTTTGGTTTTTGCAGAGTAGTGCTTTCCAGAAGATTGTTACAAATGGGGGAGAGGAGTCATTTGTCCTTCAGAGCACCAGAATTAGGTTTCTGTTGACTAAATTGATTTTAGTGCTTGTTTCAAGGTGCCAAAATCTGACCTCCCTCATGAGAAAGTTGCTTGTTTTTTTTTCTGGATTGTCCAAACTCCATCAAGAGTACAGTATCTGTGGTCCTTATGTGAGAGGAAGACCAAGCTTGCCAACAATCTCATGTGGTATCATTTTACTTTTTCAGAGACCCAAGAAGCCACCTCCTCCAACCGCTCCTGTCATCAAGCAAGGGGCAGGTAATGTACCTTTCGTTGACATACCAAGATGTGTATCTTTCTCTTTGTTTTTATTCCCATCGTTCTTCATAGAGCTGGAGATTCTTAGATTCAGATGCCGCAGATGACCAAATTAGGAAGTTAAAATTTTCTCCCCACAATCAAGTTTTAAATATACTGCTGTTTTTCCTTAAAAAAAGAAAAAAGAAAAAGAAAACATATCATTAAAATGTCTCTCTGGGACAGCGAAAATATCTAGCCTCCCAAAGACAGTGACCAGAAAGAACTTTGAATAAACTAGTTTTGTTTGTTTGTTTAATAAACTGCTCTTAAGGAGGGAAGAACGTAATTATGACCATCATTGGTCAGCTTGGGTTAGAGTGTCTCCACGTATGTGCAGCCGAAATTTCAGTGTCCCCTGTGGGCAACTCAGATCTTTACTAAGCCCCCCAAAAAACAAAAGCATATTTTTCTAGCAATACTTTTATTCCTGATTTTTCTTTAGTCCTCACTAGAGTTTAATTCACTTGTTTTCTGAATAAGGTTGAGTGCTATAGAAAGGCTTGATGGTAGGCATTTGGTAACTGCTGCGTGCTAGATTCTCTTATGTAAGGATGATCATTCACATTTCCTAACAGAATTCCCCTTTATTGTTAACAATTTGTTGTGGAGAGAAATCCCTATGTGAATAACTAGGTAAGTGGCATTTGAAAACACAGGCTGTGTCAAGTTGACAGGTGGGGATGGGGTGGGTGGTGGGGTTGAGAGGGAATATGGGAACATTAGTGGAAGATAGTTGACACTGGTGGTGAGCTTGGCGTTGAAGTATTATATGCCCAAAACTCAACTGTCAAGAGCATTGTAAATCACAGTTCTTTAATTTTTAAAACATGAAAAGGTAAAAACACAGGCTGGATCAGTAGTACAGCAGGTAGGGTGCTTTCCTTGCACACAACTGACCCAGATTGAATCCCTGACACCACATATGGTCTTCCGAGCCCACGAGGAGTGTTTCCTCAGCCCGGAGCCAGAAGTAAGCCCTGAACCCATCCAGGTATTGCTCCCAAGTCAAAACAAGCAGATGACTTAGAAGAATAAGGGTCGTTTTAGTTCTACACATTCACAATTATGATTATTTCTATGGCATGTAATGTGTGAATAAATTTCCAAATTCGTTGGTTTATAGGTTTATTAAGAAGCAATTTTGGACCCACCGAATTAGGACTGGGGTGGTTTTAACTTGACCCCAAATTCCTTTGTCATTCCCCTAGGCAAGTTGAGAATTAAAGAGATTAAGCCCTGTAATGGGCTGTTAATTACCCCTTCTGTTCCACTCCCATGTCCTTTCCATTGAGCAGTTCCATTTTGCCACCTAGTGGTTCTGGCTGGATTAAAATCTTACTGTGCTGAAATTAAAGCCGACTAAATTACTCTGAGGAGCTTTTCCCCTAGAGCAGTGGCTTTTAAACTTTTTTTCACAGGCAGACCATCACCAAGTCCATGGAGCCACACAGCAACCGTTGAAAACCACTGCTCTAGATGCCTTGGTACCCTCTTAGAGACCTATGCGAGGGCTGATGACTCCTTAGGATTGAATTCTTGGGGCCAGAATTATAGTACAGAGGGTAGGACGTTTGCCTTGCATGAGGTCGACCTGGGTTCTATACCTGGCATCCCATATGGTTCCCTGAACATCACCAGGAGTGATCCCTGAGTGTGAAGCCAGGAGTAACCTCAGCATCGCTGGCTGTTACCCAGAAACCAAAGCCAAAAAGAAAAAAAGGATTGGGCTCTTCATGGTAGTAGGACTGTCACTTCCTTCTGTGTCTCTAGGATTGATACTGAACTTCTTTAAGAGATTAGATTGTAGCATGATAGACCTATAACCTGACCTTTTAAAGCAATTTTATCAAAGGTTATGCTGGATGTCTGTGGGATAAACCTAGATAGCTTTTAATCTTCTAGATTATTGCTACCGCTTATTTATTCTGCTGAATGATCTTTGGAGCTGCCGTGTGACAGGGAGGTAGATAGACATGTTTTCTTCATCATCAACTTTCCTGATGCTTATTTGATCCTCCACTTGCCCATATCAGATATGGAATTGACAGAAATCAAATATAGTATTAAATTTATAGAGAATCATTGAGTAGCTTTAGGAAAGGTATGTGTCTGGTGAATTTATTTCAAGTTCTTCTGACCTCTCAGATGATTTTTAGTACCAAATCCCCAACTCTAGGGCTGGTCATATAGAGCCCTCAATTTATTTTTGTATATCCAAGGAATACTTGTGATTGGTTTTGTGCTTCAGCTGTTCTCCAAGTGCTCTTCCACGCCTGAGGCCACTGACATTGATAACCCCAAGTGAGAGAGCTGGTACAGTCCTTGGGGTGATTGCTAATTGGTGCACTTGAAAAAAAAGAAAAAGATTACAGAAGGATTTAGCTGTAAACAGCAAGGATTTAGGAACAACTACCATCTATTTTCCCTGCCTGTCCCTCCTCTTGAAAATATCTGCTAATTACTGTTGTTGCATAGCAAACTGCCCCAGATATGGTGGCATAAAACAGTCATCTTCTTAGGCCCACGAATTTTGTGTGTCAAGAATCAGACGGCACAGCGGGGGTAGATTGCCTTTCAGCTCACTGATGTCTGGGACCTCAGCTGGAAGGGCTGGAGGATCCTTTTGAAGATAATTGCTTTCCTGTCAGATCTGACTCTTTGGCACAGCTGGCTGGAGGTCTAGCTTGGTTGAGGCTGTATACCCAAGGTAATCTATGTGCCTTTCCCACACCACGACATCAGGACTTCTTACACAGAAGTTTGGCGTTCTAGCTACGTGACTTTTTATGACCTAACTGCAGAAATGAGATGGTATCACATCAGCCACTGGTTGAGGCAGTCACCAGTTTACCGCTAATTCAGACATGTGTCCTAGACTCTTGACAGTTGGGGAAAGTAAAGCACTTGAAGCCGTGTTTTTCAAATCCTATAGAATAGAATCCAGTTTCCTCTCAAGATCCTTTTTATTTGTAGAGCCTACCCCTTGCATATTCTGATGATTAGTTAGTGTATTTACTTATACATGTTTCATAGCTTTACCCAGCCCACTGATTTCCTGTGATTCTCCTGAGTCTCTTGCCTAACAAAGTTAGAGTCAGTAGCAGAGACCACCAGTGGTGTTCTTATAAAGAAGGGTATATGACAGGCACACCTGATGACATGGGACCAAACCAGTTCCTGCTGCTTTCTAAAGCAGCTTGTGTTGAACAGGAAAAACCAGCACTCAGCTTTGGGGGAAATGTTTATTGATTTTTGCTGTACCTACTAAATATTTTAAATGCTGTTATGTCTAATAAACAAAGAGACATTTTCTGATCGCTGTTCTTCCTTCCCCCACCAGGCACCACTGAGCGAAAACATGAAATTAAAAAGATACCTCCTGAAAGACCAGAAACGCTTCCCAACAGAACAGAAGAAAAAGGTATGAAATCAATTCTTCACTGGCACTTCTCAGACAGTAGAGAGCAAAGCTGTTGTGTCACAAGGCTGTTCTGAATTACCCACAGCATTTGCTTTTGCTTTGCAATACACTTATTATGATTTTGTTTGGATTGCTTTTAAATATCCTGTTCCTGAGGAAATAGGAGAGATGGTTATGTGGTGCTTCTTGGGGCCATAATTTGTCCACAAATACATAGCTACCAACCCAGTCCTATCAGGTTGCTTCATCCCAGTCTTCTGCTGTCACCATCCACCCTTCACCTGCAGTGGAATGAAGGCAGGATACCATCTCGTCTGTAATTCTCCTGAGGGTTCAGATGTATCTGTCAACAGTATCTATACAGCCCACTCCCAGGCCTGGTATACACTGGATGTGGCTTAGAGAAATTCCCATCCAGGAAGATGGAGGCTCTCTTCTTCAATCAGAATAACCTTTGACTCTGGCTACTGTGTTACAGATGCTTATCTTTGGTCCAGAAGGTTTTGGTTCTGGCAAAACTGGGGAAAATAACTCAGTGCCCACTGTCTCCTGAAACTGGCCACAGATGTCATATTCATGGGAGAAGCGTGATGCATCTCACCCACTGCATTTGACCCTTCCCATTCTGAGTATCTCTCCCAGTGGAATCTGCATGCTCTGGAAGGAGTCATTTTGTTAGGTCTTAAGATTTGATTGAACCCACGTTTTCTTTCAGGCAGAAGTGCTGTTATTATGAACAGGACGCAGAGCAAATTCCATTTTCAAACAGTTAATTGCAAATCTCAAGAGAAATCCTGAATTAATGAATGTAATTATTTGGAGGTGCCCCTGGGTGGCCTCATGAAATTTTATTATTTAACATTTTCCATCATCTGCCTTCCCCAAGTTATACCAACGATGGAAGCTCTCGAGAAGTTCCACCTCTTTCTTAGTGAACAGTTAAAACCTGGAGTTGTGGGAACTCATTGGGAGGACCAGGTCTGATGGCCAAAGAGTAATGGTCATACAAATAACACTTTGATAAAAATGTGTGACCTGATGTGACCAGACAGCCTTATTCACATGGAGGGCCCATGCAACTTTCTGGCTGTCAGGTTGCTTGCCACGGCCCTTTCCTGCTCTGTTCCATGCTAACATACGCAGTTAGATGACATGTGAACAGCCACACTAATTGGATTGCCAAGTGACCACGCTTGATTCCTTCCTCTTCCATGATTCCTTATCCTATGCCACAGTGAGGTCAGGAAGGCCTAGCCCCTGTCCAGAAACAACATAAAGCCAGCCGCACCCCTGAGACTTAGCCCTTCTGTTGGGTGGGCACCAAGCACCTTTCCCAATTCATGTTGCAGGCTGCTGGACTCCCATTTCTTTCACTTAAAGGGGGCTCCCCTCTTTGTGTTCAGCTAAGCCCTTCCTCCTCGGTTCACTGGCTCCATCAGTGAGTTCGCAGCATTCCTGAAGCGGCAGATTCCTCTGCCAAAATCATTGTGGGATGTGCACCTGTTTTCTGTACAGTACCTGGCAGGTGTTGCAGGGCTTTTCCTGGTAGCCTGGAGACCTACCCGACAGGAGTTTATGTCTGCAGGTAAAATATGTCCTGAGCTTCTGCTCCCACCAGCAGTCTGCCTGGTGGCCAATGGGTGACTCTTGAAGGATCGTCTTTATGAAGAAGAACATGGTCATGAGCTTTTTACACCATGCACAGGAAAACGCCAACCCAAGACTGTCCCTGAACACTGGCCATTGTGACCCCTACATCTGACTTTAACTTCATTCTCTTTTCAATGATGTAAAAGCAACTTATTTTCCCCCACGTTTTATCTATAGTTGAGTTTTAGACATACAATACTGGAGCACTGATCCCATCATCAGTGTCAGCATCCTTCTACCAGTGTTCCCAGATTCCCTCCCATATCCCCCTGTGCCCCCCACAGCCTGCCTTCTACATAGGCACCTTTCTAAGTTTGGTTGTTAAAATTTGGGTCTTGTGGTCTAATGTTAACTTCATTCTAAAAGCTCTGACTCCATGTGCCTCAGAAAGCAGTGTGTGTTAGAAGTCCCAGTTTACCTTTAGCGTTCTAGTAGGGCATAGAAATAATCCAGAGATAGTTCTTGTTCCCTGAATCATTTTCCGGTATTTAGCTCAGTGTCCTTTTCTGGAGCCAACCTGAGACATATGTGACACTTTTTTTCCAGTAGGCCTCACAGGTAGTTTACCAAGCCCAGTAACTCTTACTGGATACCTGTAGATATCAAAACTCATGAAGGACTCTAGGGAAAGGATGGTACCCTCAGAGCACGTGGGAGCAGCCCGTTGAGAAAGGCCTTCCCTTTGGTGGAAAGTGGGGAAGCAAAACAGCATGCCCAGTGCACAGCCCAGTGTTGAGAAGAGACACGGCAGTGCCACCTTTCAGCTGAACAGGCTTGAGGTGGATGGTGGGAATTGGCCAAGGGTAAACAGTGACCAGAAGGGGCCTCTAGGCACCAGCTTGAGCAAAAGCAGAAGGTGAGCTGAAGCTTTGCAGGGTTTTATTTTTTAAACTGACCGAGAAGATGAGGTCCTTGGGGGTCTTCCAGTTTCACCTTCTGGTAGATGGCATGGATGACTTGGTTTGGAAGCAGGAAGTAATCTAAGTGCCATCACTTATACTGGGTCTGTCTATCTTCTTTGCTTTTGGAAACACTGACTTAAAGAAAGACCAGAGAGAGAGCCAAAACTGGACCTACCGAAGCCTTCCGTTCCTGCCATCCCACCAAAAAAGCCTCGGCCTCCCAAGACCAATTCTCTCAGCCGACCAGGCGCACTGCCGCCCAGGAGACCTGAAAGACCCGTGGGTCCCCTGACCCATACCAGGTACTGTACCCCTTTGGGCTCAGGGTGGCAGGGGGCGTGGGAGATGGTGCTGGACTGTGGCTGGCTGAGGGAGGGGACAAATCTCTCGAAAGATTCTAGCCACTTTGTTCCTATCCAGGGGAGCAGAAGTAGGCACAAGGCAGGGGGATAGCATGGGTGTCAGGACGGCCTTTTGGACCTGGGCCAGTCACCCTTCAAACTGGAAATACAAGGGCCGTGCTCACCTTCATCCCCTGGATACTCCGCTGCTAGCTCTGTCCCGTGGTACCTCTTTCTACACCTGTTACTGGTCCGAGCAAGACCCACTTGACTCATACTGTCCTTAAGACCCTCAGAGGCAAAAGGCGCCCAGCACTTTTTTTCTTAACCAAATCTGAGGAAACTCCAGTGGGGTCCTTGACTGGCTGGAAGAGTATCCTGGGAATATGCGATCAGGGTTGGACATTGTTTCAGAGGTGCAAACAGAGAGCAATAAAGGGGCGAGTTCATGCCACAAAATCATTGCCAGAGCTGTCTACCATGGCCGGACGGATAGTACCACAGGTAAGGCACTTGACTTGCACGCAGCTGACCCGGGTTTGATCCCTGGCACCCCATATGGTCCCCTGAGCCCTACCAAGAACAATCCCTGAGCACAGAACTTTCTTTTTTTTAAATTTTTATTAGTGAAACACCATGAGGTACAGTTGTAGACTTACAAATTTTTATGCTTGGGTTTCAGTTATACAATGATCGAGTATCCATCCCTCCACCAGTGCCCATTCTTCACCACCACTGATCCCAGTATCCCTCCCACCCCCCTTCCCCCCCATCCCACCCTGCCTCTGTGGCAGGGCATTCCCTTTTTTTCTCTCTCTCTCTCCTTTTGGGTGCTGTGGTTTGCAAAAGAGGCATTGAGTGGCAATCTTGTTCGGTCTATAGTCTACTTTCAGCATGCATCTCCCATCCTGGGAGGATCCTCCCAACACCCTTTATTTGGTGCTCCCTTCTCTATCTGAGCTGCCTTTGCCGCTAGCATGTGCGGCTGGCCTCCAAGCCATGGAAAGAGCACAAAACTTTCTATTGCTACATAATTCCTCTCAAGGTACAATATGGAGGTATGTAGTCTTAATACCCTCAACCCAGCCACTCAGCTGTCTTTTGTTCTTTTGTGCTATGTTGACTTGGCACATTTCTCTCAGGTGTGCGCAGGCCCTTTGGGTGGGCTGCTGGTGCAGTCATGTCATTCTGCGGGCCCTTCTGAAAGTCCACTTGATGGGGCTCGCAGGCTCAGGGACCCGTGGCAGAGCTCAGGCCCCTCCAGGGAGCACCATCTTCTGCTGCCTGGCACTGTCAAGCTCTTTGCATGTGTGCAAGGTGTGGGCGCTTGACAGGACCTTAGCACGGCCTCTGCAGATCCTGGCAAGCACTTCCGAAGGAGCCTGTGTGAATCGCTCTCTGTGCTGCCGGAACGAGTCTGAACCAGGCACCCAGGGACCCGGGGGCAAAGGTCATACAGGGCTGTGTGCAGGGCAAACAGAGACGCCTCTGCCAAATCCCTTTCCCTGGAGGGCCGGCAGACATCTCCATTAACTTCCAGAATATTCCTCTGCTCTCAGAATCTACTGCCAAGAGAGGTATGGTTCTGGGGGCTGGAGAGATAGCACAGCAGGTAGGGTGTTTGCCTTGCAAGCGGCTGACCCGGGTTCAATTCCCAGCATCCCATATGGTCCCCCAAGCACCGCCAGGAGTGACTCCTGAGTGCGGAGCCAGAAGTAACCCCTGTGCATCACCGGGTGTGACCCAAAAAGCAAAAAAAAGGGGGGGTACGATTCTGAGGGCTTCTTGATGTTGACCGTTGCTCTCAGCCCTCTCATTATGGGATGGGTACAGGCTTTAGACCTCTGTGCCAGGGAAGACGCCCTTCACTGCCCACCCTCGGACGCCTACAGGCCCCACTTGCTCTCTGCCTCTGCCTAGCTCTTCTCTGCCTGTAGCTCTCCCTCTGACAGCTGTCCAGAACGAGAGTATCTGAGAGGGTTTGGACAGAAGTGGGTGTGAACGATGGCTGCTCTCCCTATGCTATGGGGCTCCCAAGCAGCCTGGGAGATCGGGGACAGCTGCGGCCTCCTGCACCCCACCCAAGACACCTTTTTGCAGGGCGGGGAAAAGTAGACACCTTTCTACTGGCTTGCTGCCTTCACAGTCATGTCAGGTAGCACAAGCAGTTCAGGTCCTCAGCCAGCTGTGGGGACCACACCTGTGACCCCGTCCCTGCCCCGTCCTTCCCTCCTCTCTCCCTTCTCCTCTCCTCCCCCATCCATCCTCTCCTCCTTCTGTCTCTCCTCCTCTTTCTCTGTTTCTCCCATTACCTGACTTCCCTCTGGTGCCCAATGGGATCTCCCAGGGAACAAATCACCCACTCTGGCCCCCGCCCTTGCAGTGACCATCTCGACAGGCCTGCCAAGGCCATCTGAAAATCTGCATTCCTGACAAACTCCTGAGATGGTGGGACTGAGGCCCGCAGCCTGAGATGCCCACGTTGGCATTCTCCAGAGCCTTGGAAAGGCCCCAGCCCCTACCTGGATGCAGCCAGTGTGCAGTTGACCCTTCCTGCACCTGCTGATGCCCCTGGCATCTGAGCCCCTTCGCTCCCTGTCATCTGGGAGCCTGCCCGACCTCTCATGATTGCTCTCGCCTCTGGCTGATGAAAACCTCCCATGTGGCCTACACTGAGCCTCTTGGGATGCTTACTGTGCCCTGGACTGCCTTAAGGGATTTAAAGTGGATCAAGTGTGTTTTGTCATCTACATGCTGAGGATACAGTAGTGGCTCACTGAACACACGTGATGAATACCATGGTTCCTAACAGGGTCGCATGCTTTGGTTGGGCCTTTCCCATCATCCTTCCCAGCTGCTGTGGGTTTAGAGCCATGTGTTCTTAAGTTCTGGTCACCCCAGGCACCATGGATTTCAAGATGCAGGCATTTCAGAAGTAAAGGCTTATTTCTGAGGGCTTCGTGTGCTTCCTACTTCTTGCTGAGCAGCGGCTTTGAACAGCCAACCCACATATTGGTTTACAACCTTGTTTTGTTCTTCCACAGTTGTTGAGGTGGGAATGTTCACTCCATACAGAGAGGTCAGTGTCTGTGCTCCTCTGGAGAAAGGGTGGTGTATGAATTCTGTTCCTCACCAGGATTTACCTGAGCACATGGATGGAAGGGTAGATGGACAGTTGAATGAATGCACACAGCTGGTGTTTGCCCTTTCTTGGGGAATGAGGTATTGGCTCTCAGCTGCAGTATCTGGATGTGGCTTCCTGTCACTAACCAGAATGCTTGCTTTCATATGCGGCTTTCAGAAGACATGGCCTTCTTACCGCTTAAACAGGAACTAAGAGCTTTTAGAAAAAGAGACTATGATTCCAGGGGGGGTTGGAGGGCCACACCTGTGATACTCAGCAGTTACTCTGGGCTGTGCACTTAGGAATCACTCCTGGTGGTGCTTGGGGAACGATATGGGATGCCAAGGATTGAACCTAGGTCGGCTGCATGCCAAGGCCCTACCAACTGGACTGTACTATCACTCTGGACTCCTTTTTTTGTTTTTTTTTTCTTTTTGGCTCACACCAGCGATGCACACGGGTTACTCCTGGCTGTGCACTCAGGAATTACTCCTGGTGGTGCTCAGGGGACCATCTGGGATGCTGAGTCGACCACATGCAAGGCAAACACCCTACCTGCTGTCCTATAGCTCCAGGCCCTGGACTCCTTTTTAAATCAATTTTTGTGGGGGCTGTTGAGAGGGGAGTAATTTTTAGACATATCCACTTAAGAGAAAATGTGTTTAGGACCCTCTGTAGGTCAGGAACTTCTCTCTACCTTAGTTATGGTGGAGCTGAATGATTGGGGTCCCACTTTTCAGGAACCTATAGGGAAACTACAGACAGATTTTATCTAATCTGAGAAAGTGGAAGCATGCTGGTAACAGACTTTATCATTGATAAGGATGATCTAACTTCTAGAAAGGGGGTTAAGATGGAACTTTAACAGGAATTAAAGACTCCCCTGTCAATTTAATGCTAGAGTTCACTTAAAATTAAGTAATTATAGGAGAAGGTACTATGTGTCTCCTTTGTTTGAAAGTCTGTGCTTTGGGAATGCCCTAGGTATTGTTCAGATGTTGTTCCGTAGCGTGTAAAACAGGTTCTGCCTGGCTTTTCCAACCCACACATAATTCATGTGGTTGGGCCACAGAGAATATTCAGCCTGCCCTTATTTTAACACTTGAGAAAATGGAGGTTCAGGTATATAACAACTACTTACTTGTTTTGATAATGTGTCGTAAAAGTTCTTGCTTCCCTTAGATCAAAAAAATCTCTTCCCTTTCACTAAAATTCAGTTTTAAAAACAAGTAGACTTCAAGTGATGGAAAATAGGTAATACACACACATACACACACACACACAAGAATATGTGCTATTGTATGTCTAGTAAGGTGTCTTATCAACTTAGTGAACATAAGTTGAAAGACCTTCATGAGAACAAGTCCTGAAACTTTGGAAAACAGTTCAAAATATGCGGGGCCATCAGGCTGTTTCATTGGGGCAACCTGGAGCAGGGCAGGTGATACCTCTCCCCGCCCCAACAGAGCCAACCCTGGCAGCCAAAAACCTCCAGAACTCAACCGCTACCATGCTCACAACTGCTCTCCACACACTCAGACAAACCTGACCCATGAATCAACCTATTCCTGGACATCTCGTACTTTACACCACCAAAATATACCAAGAGTTACACATCACAGTTGATGGGGTTTAAAGTAGAAGTCAACCAATCTTCTTAGGGGAAAATATATTTACACACACACATACACACACACACACACACACACACATAAGCACACAGGGTTCAACCTTTAACATGTTACTAATTTCTTAGAGAAGGGTTTAATGACTCCTGGGTGAAATTCAACAATCTTCAACACTTTCCTCTAAGAAACCTTTTTTGTCTCAGTTTTAG